GTGGGGATACTGCAGTGTTAGTTGTTATTGTGATGAGTTCTGGGCTTGAGAGTCAGACCCCTTGATTACTCCAGGCAATCTATCAGGGTGGACCTGCTTACACATATGGGCTCTGGTAAGTTTTTTAAAATCAAGGAACCATAGTTTCTGAGCAGTGTTCCAATTCATAAAGGAAGATGATAAAATAAGAAACGGCAGGTGTCTGAAGAGAATCACGAGAATGTGAGTTAGGGCGCTATAAGGCCAGATACCACGTTAGAGTGATTAGAGAAAAGTATGCACCTGAAGAGAATCACGAGAATGTGAGATAGGGTGCTATGAGGCCAGATATCACGTTAGAGTGATTAGAGAAAAGTATGCACCTGTTGGAAGGTAGCACAAAAGAGGCAAATAAATGTTTGAGTTTTTAATTATCACATGTCACCAATGTTAATAAAGCTAAGTGAAAGAGAAATAACAAGCAGACCTGAAGAGAATCACAAGAATGTGAGTTAGGGCGCTATGAGGCCAGATATCACGTTAGAGTGATTAGAGAAAAGCATGCACCTGTTGGAAGGTAGCACAAAAGAGGCGAATAAATGTTTGAGTGAAGAAAAACAACGACAAACACAATTAGGAGCTCTTTATATAGTAAAACTGATCTCTAGACATAGGTTAACAAGCACATTAGGATTGTGACTCTCACATGCCGCATTGAGGTTAGTAGCAACAAGCGTTGGCAACATGGAACAAAATAATAAAGGAACAAAATAATGGAAGAAAAGCTCAATTAGGATTAGTGGGATGATTGCTAGTGTACGGGATGAAACCTGAATTCAATAGAAGAGGTAGTAGGCATAGATTATAAGAGGGGAAAAATTGAAAGGTACAATCTAAAAGCCATCTAAGTCAAGGTGTTTGGAAATAATCATTTACAGTCCCGACAACAAACAGACCCCTGTGATGAAGAGGATGTCATCAGAAAACCAGCAACCAAATTTATACTCAGCAAACCCAGCATGGATGTCATTATAGCCATGGCATGAAGGTGACATACAGTGGGGGTTGCTTGGCATCTACAACACATGAGTACGGCATCTTTATCACTGCAGGCGCCAGTAACAGTGAATGTGCCTAACAAAAGCAAAAGTCAGCACATTCACAGACACTCACAGATGTTATGTGTATGTCATTGGAAAACACTTACCAATGATGCAACGTCGACTATTTTTTGTCAAGCAGATTTGCGTTCGACCTGGACCGCATGCCTGCACCCAAACTGAGCTCTGACAGCACAAGAGGAAGCATACAGCGGCAAGGATTGATGAAGATACGGTTCTAGAGTTCATGGTTTGAATGGTCACTGCAACGAAGTACTGCAATCGCTGATGTAGAAAAGATGAGGTTGAGTAAAGGTGGAAAGCCAGGTGGGTGAGCTAGCGCGGTGCAACGCTGCCACACTTATATACTCTACTGGTATTAGTATTACAATCGACAATACCAGGTCGTCTCGAGTGCACGATGGCATAAAGTGTAGATATAGTTATGAACACGTTGGTTATCCGTTACTATACCCGAAACCGTATTCAGAAAACCGCAATGCCACAAAGGTTGCAGTTTGAGCAATGTACACCAGGAGGTGAAAGTCCTCGGCCCTTGGTTGAGACGTTCTCAAAATTGTGTTGGCGAGAACCGACAAGAAACGTGTTCTTTTTTTTGAAAAACCGTGCAAGATTGCTTGACTCGGTCACCGAATCATGTTCTTTTCAGTATAGACCAGAAAGGATCAGAAACCGTTAACTGTCTCACGTCACCGAAACCGAAGCTCCGTCGGATACGCGACGGAGCACCGGGACAAAATTATGTACGTGGTCGGGGAAATCAGTGTCAAGGAGAGCGATAATGCTGGCAAGTGGAAAACACAAGGAAGCCAATAGCTATCCCGTTATTTTGGAGCTAAGCCTACAAGACCTGATATTTTTCAAAAACCAACAGGACTATGCAAATGCTTGGCTCTATTCTTGTGTCCAACCACAATACCAACATACAACTTTGAATCTCTTTCTAATGAACAAGGTGCCCGCAGAATTTAAAAATGAAGACACTTTATCAAAGGAAGTCTTGAAGAATTTCAGCTGATCTGATGATCCAGTGTTGACCATTGCAATAAGGGTGAACATTGAAAGGCCTTTGGTACAAAGGTCACCTGAAGAAAATGAAATGAGTCAGTCAGCTTGAGACCATAAAACTAACTTGCACCTAGGATATGGAAGAGATCATGGATTTTGGGAGGGTCACAAGTGTCAGTGTGTGCAGTTACACGGACTATCTGGCCCACCCTCATCATATCGGTCACTGTGCCAAGATGATTGATGTCCTCATCAAAATTGGAATAGATTGAAGATCTTTGTGCTGATAACAAGTCTTGATTTCAAGAAAAACCTGGCGAGGAATATTCTTTTGAACATCTCACATAACTTTCTTATGTGTTTGTTGGAGTCTTGAGATCTAGAGACACCATTTGTCATAATGATCTCCTTCATCTTTTTTGTTGAAAATAAGCAATCATTGAAAAAGATATATGCCATCATGCAAAAGTATTTTCACTTTTAGTTATCTCCCACTGATATATGTACTTCAGGATATTTCCTGGGATCATATCAAGGAAGGATGAGCTGCAAGGTAAGGTACGGCCTTGACCTGTCTTCAGCGCCCTGAAATGGTCTCAGGTGGGGATACTGCAATGTTAGTTTTTATTGTGATGAGTTCTGGGCTTGAGACCCCTTGATTACTGCAGGAAATCTATCAGAGTGGACCTGCTTACACATATCAACCCTGTGCCAGAAACGCACCAGACCACAGAAAGTGTGGACACATTTTGTTGCACAGCGGTTCAGGCCACAACTTTGACATGAATTTTATGGTGCAGTGCAGTCAGAAAAACCGCAACGCAAGCGCAGTGCAGCAAACAACACCTGCGTTGCTGTCCCAGGGTTGCACATATGTGCTCTAGTGATTTGTTCAATATCAAGGAACAACAGTTTCTGAGCAGTGTTACAATTCATGAAGGAAGAGGTAGCAAGCATAGATTATAAGAGGGGAAAAATTAAAGGGTACAATCCAAAATCTACCCATGTCAACCTGAGTACTTGAAGTTTGGTTGAATTTGAGACTTAGGAGGATGTAAACACTTACAAAATGTATACCTCAATGCTTGTTGACAACTAGTGAGCTTGTAGGTTAAGTTTTCAAATTCTTTCCAAGTAAAAAGAGGAACTAGCAGTTAGTCAACTAGCTTTTTGTCCTGAGCAGAAACTTGAGTCTACTAATAGAATACCTGACCAAGTCTATGGCAATGCTGGCTGTCTTCCAAAGGGTATGCTATGGCACACTAGTCTTTAGGTGGCACTTGAGTGCTGGTTTAATATTATTTGCAATTAAAATGAGGGATGAAGAACTTTAGTCAAATGGCGATTTAAACCAAACAATCTTTAACGTCTTCGTGGAAAGAATAGGAGAAAGAATAGAAGAGTGCAACGTGAATAGAAATAATCTCAAGCTACAAGTTTTTTTGGATAGAAAAGGTGTTCTAGCTAAGGAAATAATTTGGAAAAACAAAGCAACTCTTTTAAAAGAGATGATGAGGGAGATGAAATCTAATAGCTCTAATCAAGAGTTATAATTTTGATAAGATTTAAAAGATAATAGATGTATTTTCTTAGTAAGGGTTTGCCTCTGTTTCCTGAGTATCTGAAACAAAAGAAGTTGTTTTTATAATGAGATGTTTTAATCGTGACATGTTTATTATTATGTTACACTCTTGAGACTTGAGTGACAGAGGTATGGTGTTATTTGGTAAGTCTTGAATATTTCTTGCGCAAAACCTTACCGGTTGACAATCCAAGTCAACAGTGAAGAAAGTCAAGAGGTTTGGAAATGATCATACGCAGTTCTTACAACAAACGGCACCCTGTGATGAAGAGGATGTCATAAGAAAACCAGCAACCAATTTGATACTCAGCAAACTCAGCAAGGATGTCATGATAGAAATCACATGATGGTGACATACTTGTGCGGTTGTTCCGCAACTGCAACACTTGAATGTGGCTTTTGGATCACTGCAGGCGCCAGTAGGAGTGAATGTGCCTAAAAAGCAAAAGTCAGCACATTTACAGACATTCAAAGATGTATATGTATGTCATGGGCAAAACACTTACCAATGATGCAAGGTTGGATATTTGATGTCACACAAATCGAATTTTGATATTTACCGCACGCCCGCACCCAAACTGAGCTCTGACAGCACAAGAGGAAGAATACAGTAGCAAGAATTGATGAAGATACGGTTCTTGAGTTCATGGTTTGATTGGTCACTGCGATGAAGGACTGCACTAGTTATCTCTGATGTAAAAAATGAGGTTGAGTAAACGTGGAAAGGTAGGTGGGTGAGCTAGCTCGGTGCAACGCTGCCACACTTATATACTCTACTGGTATTAGTATTACAATCGACAATACCAGGTCGTCTCGAGTGCACGATGGCATAAAATGTAGATATAGTGATGAACACGTTGGTTATCCGTTACTATACCCGACACCGTATTCAGGATACCCTAATACCACAAACGTTGCAGCTTGGGCAACGTACACCACGAGGTAAACGTCCTCGGCCCTTGGTTGAGAGTTTTCAAAATTGTGTTGGCGAGAACCGACAAGAAACGTGCTCTTTTTTTTGAAAAACAGTGCAAGATTGTTTGACTCGGTCACCGAAGCATGTTCTTTCTCACGTTAAGATCAAGGTGTGCTCCCAAACCGAAGCTCCGTCGGATACGCGACGGAGCACCGGTAGCCGCATACCTCGGCCGGTTTGATACCGGACGTGAAGGCCAAAAAACTCAATTTAAGTCGGATATCTACCGAAGACAATGTGAAATCTGGTGCAAAAAACTCATCTTGAAAAGCATACGAAATTTCTTCATGATGTGGTGATTCAAATTTGGAAAGATATTCAAAGATTGATGATTGAATAGATGAAAATAATCTAATTTGATTGCTTTCTGAATCTGAAGAAATTAACAAAAATCAGCACCATGAATGGCGCCAGACCGCGGCTCTGGTATCTCAACTTGGAAGAATCAAATTACAACATGGCCTGTACTAGGAATGAATGTTTTAGCCCTTGAAAGATTGAATGTCCGAAATTAACAAGTAATGATACGCAGAAAGATATTAGGTGTCATCTGATTTAACGCGTAATCGTCTCAAAAAATGGACATGAAAAGGTATGATGCATGCTAAACCGTCAATTTGCCTGGACACAAGGCTAAGGCAACCTTGATCTCAGAGTCATTAGAACGAGCCTTTGAAAGGCTATACAAGATCAAACACACAGCACTTTGGAATTTCTTTCCCATCAGTTTTATAAGTCGGAATTAAGATCATCAATAGTGGTTACTCACGCGTTTCCTAGAACAGATATTACAGAATTCATAGCCTACAGAGAATCATAACAAAATCCGGAGGTCAATGAGGATGTGATTGAGGGCGGATTTTATTGACTGAGGACCAACCCGCATTGTGATCCAAAATCTTGGATTAAAGATAAAATCGCCTGATTGGGTAAGGTGACACTATCACAAAAGAAGACATGCCTATATGAATAAACAACAGAAAGCACTGCTGGATCATCAAAAAGCAGTCCAAGCCTTACCATATAAACGGTCAGGGAGGCAAGCAACGAAGTGAGTGTGAATTCCAAAAAGGTGTTGGCTAAAACTCTCTCTTGTTGTTTAACTAATGAGTTCCCCGCGGCGCGGTATCTATGATAACATCGAAGTAATTGGACTATGCATGGAATGTACATCTAGGCATTATCAATAAAAACCCAATGGGGTTCAGCAAAGGTTTTTTGGGGTTCTGAAAAGAATAAGCTTACAAGACAAACAAATCCACTGAAAACCAGGTAAAAAGTGAGTCCAACTTGAGTATATTTCCAAATGAGATCCTGAGAAGAATTCACAGTGACAGATACATAGGTTGCATTGAATGAATATATAAGTAAAATTCACATACTACATGATTGAGAGATTGTGCAGCGACCAAGATTGTCTCGAATAATTTCGAACTGTTGTATGTACTTGACGAAAAGTGAGAGGCTGAGTTGTGGAGAGCTCTAATGACGGGCATAATGTCATTTTTGATCCGAAGGTATTCGACTGTAACCTTAAGGAATGAACCGAGGATCGTTGCTATGAACGAAATGGTAATGAGTATCAATCATTTATGTGCTACCGTTGATATATGTGATCTTACCAATTGGAAACAAAATCATGATCACTAAGAGTCCATTCAATCCCCAAACCAAAGCCTTGGGCAAGAGCTCTCCTACTGGAGTCGTGTTAGCTTTAGTGTTTCTTTGCCTCAACAATGCAAAATGGCAGATACAGAGCCACAAGACCACTGATATAATCAGTTGTTTTGTCACAAAGGACTTGTTCAACCGTTGATCAAGATGTTGTAGAAACAAATAATACTCACCGCTTCAGAACAAATCGAGTCAGCTTTCGGACAAAGGTAGACATATGACTTATATTGAGACTCACACGGCACATATGATTGTCAGCGTGCACCTTAGTCCGAGCAAAAGATTTGGCCAAGCCTGGTCCATATGACCAGCTTCTGCGGCCTCGTCAAAGATGAAACCGACAAAGGCAGCTTTGGTGAAATAATGACATATGTTAAATTGTCTCCTGGTTGTCGATAAATGATGAATCAGACAGCTTACTTATACCATAAAGAAAGTAAGACAAGCCGCAGTGGTTGGCACGATCAAGTCGGATTAAACCTACTAATAAGTGAGAAGCAGGATAAGCTAATTACACCAAGGAGCTGAATATGAAACTAAAGCCACTTACAATTGTTGAATCCGATCTGATAGACTTTTCTTTCTTTTGATCGAACATACAGAAGGTAAGAGGATAGACAGATAAGTCTATGCAGCAATTGAAACAAATGGGATAGAAAACTGTCAGTGTGAATGCTTCCAGGAAGATATAGGAAGCCTCTTACATCACAAAACCTGCTGCGCTCAAGATTTGGAGATCATGCGACCATTCAGGTAAAGGAGATGGCTTCAGGTACGAAGAGATCAAGGGCGAATAAATAGAGGCCTTCCATATACATTCCCCAAAAATCTATCAAGATTCCTCGGAATATGGTAACGCACCTGAAACAATGTTACCAAATAGTTGGCCGTTTCTCGATATGGGTTGACTTGCGGCCTGAGGTGGTTGAGAAAGTTCATGACTCGGCTAAGTATCACTTGAGACATGGCAGCAAAAATATACGGATGACTTAGAAATGGGGAATTACTGATAATTTTAGTGAGGTCATCTTTTGTCAGTCATCTGGTATTAGTAGGCGTTCAAGTTCGACTTTTTTGAGTAGTTCCAATTAAGACTTGAGGTTCACTCGAAGTGCATTCTGAGCGCACACGCAGCGCTTGGAAGCATAGTCCATTGCGTGATCGGTAATTCTTCCAGACATGATTGTCCAAGCATCCGTAAAAATCAGTACGAATCGGAGCTTCATCAAACATAGAGCTGGAATTCTGGTGGGTAAAGAAGGCTTTGCACGGACCAAACGGTGACGTCAAATACATAGAAAGATTGTCCGAGTTCATGTCCTCATGAGTCAGAGACTAGAGTTACAGCTGTTTCAAAGATGAATGTTCTAGTTGTCCGAATTGTTATTTTCCATATTCGTGGTTTTCAATCTGGTAGGAAAAGCGCGGAAAGGGCTGATGACACGGCCCGAGGTTGAATCGTACCGCTCGCCCAGAGCCACAAATTCATATCCGCGTTCTGCAACTCCACAGAACTCCACATGGAGATTTGCGAACCGCTGGGTCTGGGCAAAAGCCACAGACAAACCCCATCCAATGAGCAGACCTTACCCACAGGAATGATCTTGCTTGCCTCTCCTAATTACATCACCACCTTTTCCGCATTCAGGCTCATAGTACTATTGGCTGATACTTGTGTTGCTATTGTTCTGATCAAGGATCTGAGATCCCTTTAGTCAAATCATATTCCCATCTTACTTTAGACCTCCTGGTGGCATTGAAGCAAAGCAAAGAGAAGACCTCAAGTTTACCTGGGGAAGACTGTCACGATACTAGAAGTCAGGATGAATTATGACCCTTTCTTCATATTGCCAGATGAATCTGAAACTGGCAAACAATATTCTCAATCAATCAACAATATGTTGCAGTCAGACAGAAAGTATTGGGAAAGATATATTGGAGAGATATTTGGCACCAGTTTACCATTCAGGATAAAAATGCTCTGTACACTTTACAAACTTGCAGATTTAATGATCACACCAGTCCTTCAGAGCACTTTGTTTCAAATGTCAGAGGAGCGTAAGGATTTGCTTCAATATTGCCAAAATCAAGCTACAAAGAGAAAAGAATGGATCTTCAGGATTTGATTGGCAAGATATGCACAGACAATGAAAAAGCATGCTGACTTACCTGAACAGAAAATGTGTGTGGCCCCAAGAGATCCCACTGATTAATTCTAATCCTTTTGATTTTCTGTTGTTCCTACTAATTTTTACAGAGAACCTCATCCTCAAGAAGTGATTGATATCTTCACAACATACAAACAAGGAAAGCTAGGATAAGATGACATTCAGGTGGGATAACAGTGGAATGCTGAGGAAGTGGTTCAGGGGCCAGAAGCTGGGATCCAAGTGAGTCACCATTCTCTATCTCCAAATGAAATCATGCACAGATACATGGAATACCTCAAGCTTATGGAGGCACTGATTTGCAATGAAATCTGAGATAATGACTTGGACTTGGTCACAGGAAAGTAGCTCAAGAGTCACACTCCTTTGAAACTCCAACACAACGTTAGTCAACTTCCTTACCTACCTTTCAAGAAACACAAAATCTAAACTTCTCAAAGAAAAGGCACAAAAAGGTCTGGCTGTCAGTCAAGTCTATGAGAAGAAAGATCTTCAGGATACCTAAATGAAACTTGGTAACAAACCTCAAGCCTGCTGGAAAGTCTGGCTTGCAGCCCTGAAAGATCATATCTCAGGAGTGTAGCAGTAGTCAACTTTGACCATACTCAGAAGTATTAACAGGAGCAGGGCTTTTGTTGAGATTTGTAGCAAAATGCAATTTCTTTGTACCATCTTGTAGGGCTGCATGAAATAACATGGTTTTCCCTTCAACTCTCAGTTTCTTTTTCTTACACTCTTCAATTTGATCTCTATACAGTGTTTACACCACATACTACAATTTTTTTCTATCACTTTCATTGTCTTGGCTAAAAAATAGAAACAATTTTGCCTATGTCTCTGCATACTCTTTTCAAATGATGTTTGAGAATGCTCATCCCAATGAACTCCATGATTCTCAGAATGGAGCATTATTAGAATGTCCTCAATTGCCTTTTGTCAACACCCCATACCCATTTTCATGCTTGGAACCCTGTTAGTACCCACTTCTGAAGGCAGAACTGTTTTCCGGCCCAATTTCCGGGAATCAACAACTATCAAACCAATCCCCGAGATAGAAAAACATTGTTCTGCATTACAAAAAGTCAAGTTTAGATTATTATACTAAACTCCTGTTAAGAGGCATATCGATGTGCTAGGCTTATCTTTCAAGTAATTGTTAAACTAACACATCACATGATGAAAAGAAAATCAAGATAAACTGAATCAAAAGATCAAAATAAATTGTAAAAAAACATTTATACGAAAACAAAGGTGCAACGAAAAAAACACAGCTTTTGTACATCAAAGCACATTAAAAAAATCAAATTTATATGCATATAGTCAAATCTCGATGTTATTGATCTAATTCTCTTGCTAAGGTAAAAAAACAACTTGAAAATAGATAGTAAAGCACGACTTTCAAAGGTACGATCTTTAATAAGAAAAATCACTTTAAAGTCTTAATGGACGAGTCAAAAGTTTGAGAATCTCAGGTGAAACTAAATCATTAGTTGTCCGTACAGTGATACGTGCGAGCTTTGAAAGAAGAAATCAAGAAATAATAGTTGGATAAGTCAGTATTCATCAAAGTAACTCATGAAGTAATGTGAAGTATAAACCCACCTTAGCTTCTTCATTAGGCTCTAGCCTAAACAAACAACCCACTTTCCCAGCCTTAGCCATAGTTAAAACCCCAGCCCCAACGACATTGATCGGATTTGAATCGACAGCTTCCATAAGATTCATTTTAAACCCAACCAATATCTTTCTAATCTTACTAGTATCTAAAATCTTCTGTTGATTGTGAGGATCTAATTTAATTTTAAAAATCTCTTGTGCTTCTCTTGGTGCTCCTCCAATTAATTTCCATCTTTCAAAAAACGCTTGTGAATTCAACTGAATTGGTTCCATGAATTTAGTCAGATAAATTGGTAATCCGATTGTGAAACTCTGTAATGAACCAGCTAAATATGATATTCTTAAAACCGGTAACTCTTTAAATGGTTCTAAACATTCTACCAATACTACTTGTTCAATCTGTTGCATAGGTTCAATAATATTTGTTGGCATTTTAGCCAAATTCACTACCAAGTTAGCTTCATTTGGATTTTCAATCACTAATGTCAATGATTCAAATGGTGCTGAGATCTTATTTCCAAAATATAACATTAGTTTTCCTCGATTACCATGATATTCAGACTTGAGACCGATCTGTAATTGTGCATCTTCATACAATACGCCTTCAGACTTATAACTCAGTCGTGTCAATTCAATCTGACTACCGTGCGTGAAGGCAGATGTGCTAGGTGCAGAAAGAGATGTACTACCAGATGGAGCAGACGGTCCAGGAGTAGTGAGGTCCAGCCCTGACAAATCTCCCATGAGATCATTAGTCGCCCTTGACTCAGAGATACCGGATGTAGATTGGTCGCCATCCGCGGTACCATTACCACCTATCGGTTTGGGTTGTGTACTGGGTTGCTGACGTCGCATGCCATTGGAACGACCTTCCACCTTCTCTTGATTGGCTTCCTTCCCACCGATCACCCACGTCCGCTTATCGCCCGTCTGTCCTTGGGCCTTAGTCAACCTACTCAAAAGAGCACTTTCTCGTTCTGGGAATGGTGGCATTTCATCGCAAACAGTCTGAAGCAAATCATCGTCCGGTGATTTTGCGATGGCCAGATATTCACCTGTGGTAGTTGAAGAATGATATTAACATGATTGGTAGCTTGACAAAACCATCAAATGGGACAAGCAAAACTGCTCACATGCTCGCTGCTGGAGTTCGGCATCCAAAACATGTGTGTATCTTTCAAAGACGTCGATTAATTGAGTTCGAATTTCGGGGAATAAGTTAACCCATTTCAAGTATGTGGTCAAGAGCATAGAACGAGTCGAAGGTGAACACAAGTTTGCTTTCAAATGTAAGATCTGAAACTGTTCGATTGGTGAAAGGCCTTCTTCATTTGCGACCAAGTGGCCAACTTTTAAGATTGATATCCAGTTTAGTCAGTGAGACCAAGTTGCTCTGTAGATGCTGTATGAAATAGTTGTGATACTTACACTCTCCCATGATATACGCTGCCACCTTGATTAATTGCTCGTGACATGTAGGCATATGAAGATACTCAAAGACTTTCTTGACCGCATATTCTTGTAGTTCAATTGTATTGGTCACAATTTGAATCACCCGATACCAAATCTCATCTCCAATATGATCACCAGCAGTACTCATCAACTTTAAGATTGTATCAAGATACCATTCATATTCTTTTGCGAACTTTTCAGTTAAAATTGCAATCTTCAACACTAATTCTTCTCTTAAAGCATAATCTGAGATTGCCAAGTAACGTAATAATTCTCCAACAATCACTTTTGCATTTGAAGTATCACACATTGAATACAGTAAGTCAAGTCCACGCCGTCGTACGCTAATGTCCTTATCACGAAGACTTAGGATAATTGTATCTTGATGTTGTTTGAGTGTTTCGAGATTGTCAGATCGAGCTGCGAGATGAGACATCGTATCAAGACCCAGATATCGGACGTTGGTCTCCTTGGATAAAATGAATTTAGCCAGTAAAGCAGAAGCTTGTTGGACAAGATCTGAGTTGGGATCGAGATGAATCGCCAGATTGATCGCTTCGAACAAGACTGCATTCTGTGCATTATTATGCTGTACATTTTTAGGTGTTTCTTGCGTGTTTCGTAAGATTGTTTGTAAGACCAGCTCTAAAGTTGACAAAACGGTCGGAATTTCTACCAGGAGAGATTGTGAATTATCAGAACATGATGTACCACTGCCGCTTCATAAGTAAGATCAAGACAATGACCAACCTGTAGGTGCATAGTACTGCAACAGTCGCAAGAGTTTGCACTGCAACCAGGGTATAGGTACCTTGTAGTATATATATTCACTGGGCGTGTCTTGTTGTACAACGATCTAACCTGCCCAGAAGAGAATGAGACGATGTGAGATCCAAGTTGGTTACCTGCCACTTCCTTTACGAGAAGGGATAGAAATGGTGTTTTGACCTTGTTTAGACGATCCACTGCTTTTTGATAACACACTGCGAAATCTTCCAGGTGGTCTTGTGCCAATGTGAGAACCAAACTTGTGACTGCTAAACAGACACCCTAGAAAACCAAAGTCAGAGGCGATGTTGTATGGCAGTTAGCAATTGGCATAATGGTTTGAAAGCCAAAACAGAGCCTTCAGTGAGAGAATGCGGCGAGAATGACTTACCATATTTCCATCATCCATGAGTGATACAATCCGTAGAGCCCAGTCTGAGATTGGAAAAATTTCGGGATGTTTGCGATAGAGCCTCAAAAGAGTAAGAGCAGCCTTCTTTTTAACAAATTCTTTTGAGATAGGGCTTATGAGGAGACTATAGACGTCATTTAATAGACTTTCAGACATTTCCTTTCCACCGATGTTAGCGATCGCATGAAGCGCGAGACAGTTATTGGCTTCGTTATGTTCATCGAGGTCTTTACGGATCGAATTAATAACTAATCGGACCAAATCTGAGTTTTCGTGCATGAGTAAGGTCAAAGCAAGATATCCCTAGGTATAGAGACAAGATTAACATCATGACGGTAGATTTGGATTTTTGCGGATGAACTTGAGTTGACCCACGATTTGTTTTTCTGAATACTTTGGACTTGAAATCAAATTGACAGCCTCCATATGACCGATATCAACTTGATAACCCAATATATAAGTAAATACAATTTTTGCGAGGTATTTCTTTTTTGAATATCCATCAAGATTTCCATCTATGATCAAATGCGTTTCAGTTAAAGTCTTTGAAAGGTTTGAAGCGGTCAAGACACACCCTTGAACTTTTGTCGGATGTTGGCCATCTCTTTATTGATCCGCTTCTCCTCTAGTTCGCGAACTCTGCAAGCACGCTGATAGAACGTACACAATGTGTCGGTGTTATTCTACAACATGATGGACGGTAAACAGGAAGCTTGACAGACCAGATCCGCGATATATTGATTGAGTCTAAGATTGTATGGTGGAACGAAACAAGGGAAGTTGAGAAAACGTTAGGCTGTGTTGATGATACTAATGTTGAGCATTCAAGACTGACCCTCTCATTTCGGTTGGCATTTTGAACGATGGTGTTCGATGTTTGCAAAGTTCAAAATGGTCTTGGTCTTGGTCTTGGGGTGGTGGACGTTTCTTGCCTCGTCTCGTTAACTGTAAAGCTGAATTGGAGATTCTGATCGACACTTCCATACATACTCGACAGTACTCGAAGTACCCGATACTCGAGCGTTCTTTAACAATCGGGTTTATATAAAAGCACCAACTCATTCTCGATCATCTCTTGAGAGAATTCAAATCATCTTCACCATGTCAACGATCGATGCCACCATCAAAGGTCTCTCGGATTCTAATCAAAAATACGATGGAGCAGATCTCGAAATCGTCATTCTACATACCAGATGGAATCAGTCTATCATCACAGCTTTAGTCACAGGAGCAATAGATACTTTACTAGCAAGTGGCGTCAAGCGTGAAAAGATCTTCATCGAAGATGTTCCAGGCAGTTACGAATTACCATGGGCAGCTTCACAGTTTAGTCATTTGATCAAACCTTCATAAATTCAAACCACCTCGTAGACCTCCTTAAGGTGATTCGAACTACACCGTGATCAACCTCGACTCATGTTGTGTATCACTCATCCCGACTCGAATAAAGGATCCTATCTAGCCCACGTGGTTCTCGAATCTCCGCTTTGATCGCAATCGGTACTCTCATCAAGGGGAGCACTATGCACTTCGAGTTCAGTGTTTGACATAAGTTCTCAATGCGTTCAAATCTACTCGTACCCTCACAACAAAGGACTGATTTCATTCTTTCGATGCTATCTTTTACAAATGCCATTTCCAATGAACATTCCATCCTCACAATTTACAAAAAAACCCACTTCTCTGGCTGGTCTGTTCGGCAAACCAAAACCATGTAGATATATCTGCGATGCCGTATCGCATGGATTAATGAAAGCCTCGATGGAAAATGGTACACCAGTCATCTTTGGAGTTTTAACTTGTCTCACTGAACTTCAAGCTCAACAAAGAGCTGGATTAGTACCTGGTTCTCATAATCATGGTGAAGATTGGGCTAAAGCAGCAGTTGAATGCGGAGTGAAACGTACTAGCTGGTCATCGGGTGGAGGACTATTGTCACTCGCCGACAAAGACTTTCCTAAATCATGATTTTTTTCGAATCCTTTGAAATGTTCATCAACACATTCCAACACAACCTCGTCTCAAGACCATTTGCTTACAATGACCTCCTTGGACCATATTCACTGGAGCCGAGTGAATTCAAAGCAATCAAATCCTAACTACCCTTTTGAAATAAAAGGAAGAGTACCCGTGGCTCAAGCGTAATGTAGACATTGGTAGAATTTGTTGGCCCAAAAAGAAATAAAGTCGGTCAATCATTTTGAAGATCTTGCAGGACCCTGGAATGCCCCCGCAAAGGGTAGTCATCTACACCACGGAGCGACTTGTGAGCGCGAGACGCCTGCCAGGTGAAGGTGAGTCGTTGAGTGGATTTCACTCGGTGGTAGTCTGAAATCCACTCAGCAGAGCGCTGCCTGATGACCGCCGGATCGGTCGTCACATGGCTTTGCTAAAATTCTTGCCCGTGTGACCATCACGCTGCCACCACCTCACAAACTCTGAGACCCTGGTCTTACGCTCGCCAGGTGGAGCTCCTCATGCTCACCACCTCGGCTCGAGTCACGGTAAGACAGCCTCGCAGGCTGTTCACGTCCGTATTGCTGCGACCTCATCACCACGTAAGTCTTCAACTTGGTAGAAGATGATTGTGTTGTGATTGAGATGGAGTGTCACATGATCATTATTCTAGAACGTTCACTGTGATATGATGTCATGAATGGCATCATCCACTCTTTTTTATTTTCTCAAAAGTTTTGTTATAAATTGTTCACTTTCGAGATCAAATGGACGACTTCCCATTTCTCAACAATTCAATTTCTCTGACTCACTCATACAACATCAAAGCCTTCATCTTATCTAAATCATTCTCTCTCTGCTACATGTCTCAATCTTACCTGACTCCTTGTTTGATTATGAAATTCTTTTCAAAACTAAACAAAAACCTTTGGTTGTCTACACCTTTAACTCTTAATCAATTTCATTTGATATCAATCAATACTTTTGCATTGTATTTATGTACTCATAATCATACATTTTGTCAATCTCATTATGGTGTGCTTGAGAAGAGAAGACACTTCCATTTTTCCACAGCTTTCATCATCATATCATATCATATCATATCAATTTCCAGCTTTCCTTCATTTGTGTTTGTACTAGTAGTCTGATTGACTTGTGTTTTACTTTGTTGAGTGAAAACAAATGAAACAGGCATTTTGTGATCAACCTCTGAGTCTTTTCTAAGTCAATGTTGCTCCTGAGCAATCCAAATTGGATCAGCTGGGAGTTTTTTTGGGCTTGTGTGGTGAGTCATGCCACATTGCAATGGCATGGTGACCAGGTTGAAAACTTGATACAGGTGGGTAGAGGTTAGCTCACCTGGTCATGATACACATGCCTAGAATGTGAGCACCACCTCATACATGCGTGAAGCGTCTTGTGGATCTCACGTGTTGAGTGGCTCAACACTGCAACCTGTAACTCCTCTTGTGGAGGCCATGTTGCTCATCATAGGAGCTTTTGGTGACTTGGGCTCCACACAGTGAAAGCTCTGTGGTGTAGACTGATTTTTTCAGATTGTCATTGCAATATTGGCAGAGCTTCTCAAGCACGTGCAAAGTTGTTGGTAATATTATGTAGGCCCTCAAAAATATCACCTACATTTCAAATCTGACATGTAGGCGCTTGAAAATCACACTTTCTTTTGAGTGCCTACATTGCAAATTCCCATGGATTTTCCAACACCTATATCCAATTTGGTGGGGATGCAGGCACCTTTTTTGTGGGAAACAACCATGTAGGTGTAATTTGGGCAGCACCTGCATGGCTTTTCTGTAGACTGCAAATTGCAAAGGCCTAGACAAATGCTGTAGGGGAGGAAAATGGGGAGAAAAATATTGTGGAAAACAAGATTCAAATTACTTTATATGTATATTGAAAAAGATTGAAGGTATTCCAGATCTGCTGTTGACAGGTGGGTTTTGGTGGTATGACTGGCAAATGACCCCCAAAGTGATATTATTATTATGTTGAAATTGTTTTGACATCATGTTGAAATCCTGTGGAATGTGGTGATAGTCTCTAGCCTGAGGCTGTCTGGGGATGTGAATTTGGTAAATGTTTCATTGGGATTTTTGCAGGCTGGAATAATTGTGTGAATGTGAGATTTTGATTTTTTTTAGGGGGTAAGTCTAGGTGTTGAGATAGTGAATCATATTTTGTTGATTGTTGTCTGGGTCTGAATTTTACATGGGAATAGAATCAGCCAAGTGGCTCTGCCCACCACTTTGGTTGTTGTGATGATTGTTTGGTTGTTGTGATACTTTAGGTTATTTACAGAAGCGATTAATGGATTAGTCAACAGAGATGGGTGGTAGTAGGAGTGGTAGAGTTGGCCTTTTGAAATGGACAAGGACCACTCTAGGGTGAGGGTAGAAAAAGTACAATGAGTCATTTTCTGTATTTTTCAAACAGGTTTTAATCATGGGATTGATATACATAAATGCAGTACAATTTGTACTATAGGTGAGATAGAATTATTCTGAAACATTGAAGCGTTCTTTGTGTCTTTATTCACCTCAAATATGTCACCTTGTATGTCTCAAAAGGAGTATATTGATTAATGAAACTGGTGAGGGAACATTCTGCGTGTATCAAAGATATGAAGGATCAGAAATATGGTTTCATATCTCATGGTTCTTGATTCTACAACATAAGTCAAATTGCTTTACACAATCAAATTCATTTTAAAATTCCCTTCACATCCTCTGTACTATTCACAACATCAACTATAACAAGAAATGATTGGTTTACCAATAAAGATATTTATAATGCTGGGTTTCCAATTTTTGGTCAACTTGTGTTTCTTTGGGACACACACCTCAGCCTCACTAACTTCCAGCATAAGTGAAGCAGAGAATTTATCTGAAAAAGGTGAATATACTAAATAAACTGGTTTAAATGTGCTTCAATTCAGTAATGATGATATACTTACTGGCCTTATCTGATTTATTCTCTGCACAAAGTCTACTTGGAAATTTGGGGTCTTTCTCACAGTGCTGTTTCCAGCAATCACAGGAAAGGTCTTGAGGAATACTTAGGGATGGAACTTGAAGAAAGGCAGAACTCAATTCCTTTCTTCCCTCTCCCTAGTCCAGGCATGGATGGTGAGCATTTTATTTGAAGAATTTCAATAAATTAGGACATCCCAAAATTGATGCAATTTGCATAAAGCTCCACCTGGATTGGAAGTATTCCATCACATCAATAATATGTTGCAGTCAGGAATCCAAGAATGGACCAATTTCCTCAAGGAAGTGTTTACAATGGAATCCCAATTCAAAGAACATCACTTCTGGCAATTCATTGGTGATCTTTTGTCCCATATGCCAACTCCAGCAGTTCAGGTCACATTGGTGCAAATGGAGACTGAGAAGCGGAAGTTTTACCTTCTTGGAGATGAATTGAGGTCATTTCAACTTCAGAACCTAGAGGAAATGATACTGAAAGGCAAAAATGTGATGAGAGAGCATATTGGACAGCTACAACAGGATAAGTCAGTGACTCCATTGGGTACAACTCATGATGGGAAAATAGTTTTGACTTGATAGCTCCTTGAATTAATTTTACAGGGTGACTGAAAGTGACAGAATCATAAACACATTTACAGACAATGAACAGGAAAAGCTAGGAAGGTTCAAGATTAACCTTGCAAAAAAATGGTCCCCATTGGAGAGGATTGAGCTTCGGCAACACTGGGTTTTGCGTGAGTATTGCTTATCATGTTTGTTAAAGTTTGAAGAGCTTACAGAGACAAACCCATATTGTAAGACTTGGGCACATACTTGGATGAGAGCATTCATGTCAAGGGAATGCTGGAGACTCAAGTGATCCTAGAGGGCTTGGTAAAAGCAGATGCCAGAAATATATTCAAGATGGCATCCCATCAACTGGGTGATCCTTTTGAAGATGTAGTGACTAAACATATCACATCACTAAAGGAGAGTTTGATCAATGATATCAACCGTTCAAACAACCAGTAGGTCAAAATTTCTTCCCTACAGTGTGTGCACAAATGATTGATATATCTTCATTTGACAGGGACACCGGAAGCTTTGTGGAAGTTCAAAGCACCTTGCGTAATGGTCTAATGATCACTGATACTTGGAGATTCAATCCAGCTGAGTGTAGAGTAGTTATGTCATTTTGGGTACAATGTGAGTGAATCCTTAGTATTGTGCAAGTATCTTTTTGATTTATTTATATCCCCATCATGGTATAATATAAACAGATATGAGATTTTATTTTGGTATAAAGCATTCAAGAAATCCAGGACTATATCACCATCCCTTAGAAAGGCTCATATTAGCAGGCAGCAAACATATGGAGAATATGATTCATCAATTTAAGAATGCATCAACTTTTCAAACTTCCCAGAGGGATTTATTGACTGGATTTTTGGAATTCTTTCTTGAGAAGACACAAGAAAATGATCTCAGACATATTGCTATGCGTGCTTTGGAGCGCATAAACCTCCTTTTTGGTGAGCATATCTCCTGAAATGAGAGGCCGCCTATTTTGAAGGATCTGGCACTGTCTAAGCACCAAAGTCTCTGAGCAATTTCAAAGAATGTCATCATGTCCATTTGTAATCATACTATTAAAGTTGAAGGAATTAAAGCCACTAGCATGAACAGAAAAAAAATTCATGTCCTCTATTTTATTGCAACTTCATTCTTGTTAAATTAGGTCCAAAACTTGTCACTTGTTTTCATTATATTTTCTGGCACAATCTGCTTGATACACCTTATTATCAATTTTGCTTTCCAATTAAGCATAATTTGGTGTGTACACTGAGAAGTGCAGCAAAGATCTCTTTTTGAATAACTCTTTGTTTGTGCCCCAAATCTATACTTCTCTTTGCCTGTGTTGTATTGTAACTTTTCTTGGGGAAAGATCCATATCAATACTGCCAAGAATAACAGGTTATGTAGGTTTGGAAGTGATTTCTCTGCACAAGTTTTCTGTGTGAGCACCAACCAAGACACAACTGGGTGTGGAGTTCCATGGATTCCAAAGTTGTGTACAGATGTAAGGATCTATGCTCAATGGGAGAAAATGATCAACTTAGAGGCTGCCTGGTGGTTGCAACTGTATGATAGGTCCAGAGTATGATCTGGTGTTTCCTAACTCTGCGCTGGCATGGTGGAAGGTATGTAATCCATTTTCTTTCCTTTCATTCATCAAGGCTGATGTCTATCCTCTTCTATAAAGCTTCATTGCAATTGATACCCAATTCTTGCCTCAATGACAAAAGACTATCTTCCTTGCTCTGGTTTGTTGGCTGCACCCAAATCAATATTTTTGGCTGCAGCTGATGTTTGTGGCACAACTTCAAGTTGACAGCGTACTCATGCATCTTCCTCTTCACCTTCTTCATAAACTTCAGCAGAGTTGTTAACTTAATGAAGTCCCTCGTGCAGAGTTGTATGTACATAGTGTATAAAAAAAGAACACACTTCTTTCTTCGAGATAATTCTGATGATGTCAATTTTCGGAGATGGGTCTATTCTACCTACCACAACACCAAGTTTTCAATACCAACAGGTTCTCATCTTGACTTTAAAAGATACACACATACTCAAAAAAATGGTCCATACATTCAATGTACTACTACCAGCTTTCTTATTAACATCTTCAAATACTTATCAAATCTTTTGAAAAAAGCATAATCACAAATCAAGATAGAAAAAAGTATACAAAAAACAAATTAATCAAACCAACAGAAGAACGAGACCTGAAACTGATATAAACTGTAACTAAACGATTTTTTTTCTAAGAAGTGTGTATGTACCTACCTATACACATTTTGTTATTCAAGACGTTTTACATCAATTTTCACTTTCCACCTTGTACACTACCATATCCCATCTTACAATACTCTTTAGCAATTGAAGCACTTCCACTCTAAACGCCCCGTCCGATCCACCAAAAAAAAAGCAACAGTAAGTAAGAAGATCAACCAAACCAAACCAAAAAGAATCCAAAGTAAAAATAAATCCAGTAGAGGAAGAAAAAGAAGAAATCACTTACTCTCATATAACAAACTTTATTCTTAATACATTCCTCACTAGTACAACTAGGTGATCTTACACTATTCTTACCTTGATACTTTGTAAATTTTGAAATTAAGGTACCATTATCTTTTAACATCTGTTCAGTAACCAAATGCCACCAAGTCGCATTTAATGGTGCATCAATTGGCCATTTGATCTCTTTACCATATGCTTCTCTTGTTGAATATTCGTATTCGTAGGTCGGTCCTTTATGCGGATCTGTGTCTAAGTGTGAATATGTTGATACGTTTGAGTACCACCTGTGATATTTAGAGTTTGAAGCTTGATCAGTTTGAGTCAGTAAAACAAAGATGAGATCATCTTGACTCACGTATGTGCATCCAAGATCTCATACGTATCTGGGTCAACTTCATACATCCTAAAACCGCTGTTGACATTAGTCAAGGGGGTGATGGATGGACCCACCTAATTGTAACCCAAAAGTCGATGTCAAATCATAAGTTAAAACTCTGGACAAGGGAATCTATTACTCACCCAGCCAGTCGTCAATGCATGATCAGCTGTAATATTGGTTGCATTATTGGCATAATAGATCATGAACTGGTCCTCTACAAAAACATCAATACTTTACAGTCAAAACTTGCAAACTGACGTCTCAAACACAAGAACACCAATCACTTACCATGAGTATGACCCCACATAATAGCTTTAATAACATGAGGTGAATATCTTTCAACGATTTGATAAAACAAATTTGTAGGATTCACCAGAGGATTAGATCCATCCCATCCCTAGCGAAAAAAAAATCATGATCAATTTAAATTCTTTCAAATCTATCCCAAAAAAATACCAAATTCTTTTTCTTCGTGTTTTAACTTACTGAAAGTACATGTCCCATGATCCAAACAGATTGACCTAAATCTTCAGATTTTTGTAATTCTTCAGATAAAAATTTTAACATTCCACTTTGATCTGGATTCGTCATATTAATAAACTAATTCCCAGATTCGCCCAAAAACCCAAAACCCAAAACCCAAAACCTCATCAGTTTTTCCATAAGATTGTAGAATTAGTACAAGGATTTGGGAAAAAAAAAGAACTAACATTAAATAAATTAGCACGATACCATAAATCAGTATTCAAGGTGATAATCTTCAATCCTTCATAACGTTTAACTGCATAACCACCATAATGAGCACGTGCGATCTTAGCCACATCATCTGAGATCCAATGATTATGAAACCAAAGACGAGATAAATGATCATAATTCCTATGATTCGAATCTCAACTTGATCAGATTCGATTCATTCATTTCAAATATCAATCGGAAGATCAGATTGACTTACCAACTAAATTGTTTAGAAAGGCGTTCAGGCATCATCGAATGTGGCGCATCCTGAGCTTGAAGATAACTATCATGATCTATTTACGAAATTCCACATCAAACAATCTTATTACCTAAAACAGATGAAAAAAAACCAAAATGACTTACTTCCAATAGCAGCATACAAAGGACCTCCACCTAATCTTTCTTTCCAAAGATCATATAATAATGT